CCGTCTCACCTGCCTTTTACTTACTAACACTACCTACCTGGCGACCTGCATCGGCATCTCCATCATCGTGGCTAAGATATCTAACACACTTTGACAGAGCTTCTTCTAGGCATACAGCACGCCAATGCGGGCACTACCTTAGTGCCTTTGAGTCATGCCGGTGAATAGCTGGGCAGGTGTCTATCCAGTCTAAGAAGTGCGACCTAATAGGGTCTGTCTCAATGATCACTTTAACGACTCTGTTTTGAATCTAAATCGGTCGGTGCCACCTGGCTCATTTTCGTCGTCGACCTCACTCTCTCCGTCCGTTCGTCCGTTCATGAGTGCGAATACGCATGCACACATCAAGCTGAAACGACTGGCGGCGATTATAGGCAGTAAGGAGAAAGAGAAGACGGCGTGCCAATCACCAAGTCTCAGATCAAGAAAAGCGCACGAAGCAGTTCGCCGTACGTCATGATTCTGTAAGGTCAACCAAAAAGAATTCTTCGCTTCGTGACGGCGGCAACGATGGTCGTAATGGCGGTAGTGGCAGTGCCAAGCTGGGTTGAACCTCTTCGAAACCGGGTCTACTTACGCAGTCTGACGCATTCGAAGAGTGAGTGAATCTCATTCAGTGTTTGACTTGCAAGGCCAACCAACCGGTCGAATAAACGACAGATCAATCAAGCAGTCAGGAATGGGAACCAGCAAAAAAGGCGAGGCAACTTTTCCTCTATCTTTGCAATTGATCTCTGCACTCGCTTTTCCTTGTAACCATGTCCCCTTAGCTATGAAGTAATGTCCCGACTTGAGGCCGTCTGCAGGTTTAAGGAAGTGATGAAAGAGATAAAAAGGCAGTCGAGTTTCCCAAGAATTTACGAACCTTGCATAGTTTTCTCGCTCCTCTACCTTTCTCTATACGTTGCCACCTATCTATAGCCGGCAGCCAATAGCCGGCGCCTTGCATATAGGTACTGCCTTGCACCGCTATGCATTACATCTCGTCAGACGGCTCCTGTAGGGGAAGCTGAGCTATCCTCGGTGTGTTGTATCACACAAACCACAACCGTTTTAGGCGAACGTACGCATACGTTAACGCCTTTCATCAATGGGGAATGCGTGCATGTACTATGCGCATGTGGGCAAGCATGCGTCTTCGAATTGTGCAGGTTGATGACTGCATAAGTACATAGGTATATCTATCCACTGGTATGTGCGTTGCGTAAGTAATACTCTTGTGTGGTTTCTCAACTAACAGCCTTAAGTCCCCTCGACTTTAGGACAAGCGTTTTTAGTCAAGTAATTTTTAGTGTGCTGTCGCTTAGTTGGCGCCTGTGAGCTGCTAAGCGCGGTCTCCTCTCGTTTAATGGCAATGCACCGGCGCCGCCGATGAAGCCAAGCTGAACCTAACCCGACATCCTTAACTGTATATATATGTGAATAAGTGTGCCGGAATTACGCTTCGGCAGGCACTGCCGCGAGTGGTGTACTGCAGCCCCTCTAATCTCCTCTACTAGCAGTACGAAAATCGGACGGGGCCTAAACACGCTGCCATTACCACTACCGCAGACGTATGGCATCCCACAGCTAACACGCACGCGGAAAGAGTTTTGCGCGGTAGCATTCGAAAGCATGAGAATGGTATACTTTGCTTGAAGAGGGGGTTCAGTGTCCAACTCGCACTCCCCCTTCTCGCAGCGTTACAGCACGGAGGCTGCGGTCCTCGCTAAAGCAACATTTTGTGTCATTACCCCGCATCGAGGGTATATTGTACATGCTTTCTGGATAGCATAGAACAACACGGCGTACGGTCTGCAATCCACGACAGTCATATTCACACTTGCAGCCTTTCACACACACAGAAATACATAGTCCTCTAACGCGGCAGTCAAAAGCTTTGCATCGAATAAGGGGCAGAATAGGGAACTGATGACGTGCTCACAGCGGTCCTACAAGCGACGACGCAGCAACCAAATGTGTTCTCCTAACCAACTCGCCGGCTATGCTGTCCCAATACACATAAGAGTAGGCTTCGGAAGGGGGAATTACGTCTGTCAACAACGCCAGGTTAGTGCAAGCGGACAGCATTGGCAAGCCAACTCGGCCCCTTTGTCCCCCCCCCCCCCCTTACACTCACTTTTCTCTCGTTCTTTCTTTCGTTATCGCACTTCGAATGACTTCACTCACCATCCGGTGGTCCTAACGGGTTCTAGGCCCCATCACGCGTCATAAACACTTACGATCTCGCCGTCCTACTGGTCGTGTCTACTAATTGCGCTCATCAAGACCTCGTGCGCGTGCGCGATACACTAATGTAACACACGCGCACATCCACAACTTTGGCCATAATCACACGCTGTTGGCGCAGCTACTGAGACTGTTCCTACAGATGCCACTATTCCTTCCTCTGCTGAGAGTCAAGACAGAAAAAACGAGGCTGAACAGGTGAAAGAACAATATATATGTGTATCGATGTTTACACATGTGTATGTTCTTATACGTCAATATGTGTGGATAAATGAGGACATCCGTCTTCTAACCCTTTCAATATCTTGTCTTCGCAAAATCTATTTGTACGAGCGCATTAGATGACGATAATCTCTATTTGATGTTACTGTAGCTTACTAACAGAAGGAAGCCCCATAGGCTCATGAGTTATTTAGAGATTTGACAGCGAGCTATCAGAGGATGGTTGGAATGTACGTAGTGTTCTTACTTTTCGTTAGATCTTGTAAGGGCCTGGGGCGTTTCGTGTTCATGTGAACATTTTCTTAACTGATTCTCCAAGTGGAATGCATCATTTGGTAATGAACTGTATTCAACAGCATTGGGCATTGAACCGTTACTGCCAGTACTGCTCAACTTCGTCATCTTGTTTTGTTTTTTTTTTTTTTAAATAGCATGTAGGAAAGAGTAATAGGCATCCAATCTAAATTTTGCATTTATATCGCTCGCATTTGTTTAATTCGCTGCATTGTCTGTGTAACATTGTAACTTTCGATTTGCTGTGGCATTACGAGGTCCCTTGCAGTCAAAACAGGGAAGGGCGCTACACTTTCGGCACCCTAATTGCGTCTACCTTCAGCAGCGAACGGACACCTCTCTGATGAACGAAACGGTTCTTGTTGCACTGCACTGGGGGGGGGGGGGGTCAATCGCGCACGTTTGCGGACAAACTTCCACTATTTTACCCGAACACGTCTAGGCTCACTAGAGAGCATGCGAGGATTTTGTGACTGTGGAAGCGGGTCCAGTCACTAGGAGGTCAAGACATGTAGAATGACTCATTTTGCATAGGCTCAATGGAGCCTGTTTGTAATTACAAGGTACACTTGGAGAGGTGACGAATTCAGAAGATGAATATTGTTATTATTTCTGACATTATTAATTATTATTCAGTATGCAACATTCAATACGCCAACACAAATCCTATTGTAAAAATTTACCTAAGACTTCTGTTTTGAAATACAGTCACCATTGTGCTTAATAATTTAGCATTTTCTCAATCTCAAATTAAAAACCGTTTCTGGACAATATGTAGCACTTACGCTCGTTTTGCAACATGTAAATTGTTGTTGTTGTTCTATAGGTGGAATTTCAACTAAACTGTAGATTACGTTAAATATTGGCTGAAGCCCGTAGAATTATTCTATGGTCATATTTTGAGCGACAGTCCCAACGTGATAAAGGAACGACCCCGTTATTCGATTACGGTGGCGGCAGTGCGTCTGAATATGTGATATACATTTACATTAGTAGATGCTTCGTACGGCATGCCTAGCGCGATCCTAGAAAGGGTGCAGAAGGTTATTTGGCCTCATAGAATAGGGTAGTTCTTCATTATATAGAGTACGCGCCTGAACTGCGTCCGGAGACTATCAGGTTTATAGAATCTTCAAAATATCCAGAGATCTCGTCCCTGCATGCGTGCGTTCTCGCTCAAATACGCTGCAATAATCAAATGGCTGCTAGACGGCGCGGCAGCTGTACTTGTTGCCTAAGCGGAACTTTCAGACATTTTTAGAACTAGATAAATTTGTTGTCCGTAGATTTTCCAATAAATCCCTTTTTACGGCTAAGGGAGAAGAACCGAACTAAAGTAGCTTGTTATTAAGGCACACTCTAACAGCACTTAGGATGCCTAACAACTCTCACATGAATCTAAAAATAAATAGGCGTCTAGCTTGAACCCAATGTTAATTTGATAGCATTTAAAAGTATTGTATATATGATAAGTTTGTTTATTTTAATGACCTAGTTCACTATCTGTTATGGACAGAAGTAGAGGTAAACGTAATAAACAACATAATATTGCACTAACCCGTTCCGATGCAGAAACTAACTTACAATCTAATATTTAACTTACGCACTTATTAAGTAGTTGATGTCATTTTCTGTTAGAATGATAGGTACTTCAGACGAATCTGATCAGACGCGTGGCATTTGTTCAATAGCACGCCATTACTGAATCTTGTAGCGTATCCTCGGTTTCATCGCATAATGTAAATACGGTCTGTGCTCTCCCCATTTTCAAATGTCCAATATTATAGAATCACCGAACGCTTAACTGAAGCAGAAACGTTCTCAATGTACATCAGCATCTTTGTTTATGTAACGTATCTATTTCATTTAATTAATTAATTAATTAATTAATATTGCGATTCGCTGACCTGTAAAGCCTATTGTATAATTTTGCGTCTTTCGACTGATAATTCAGTCGGTCTATAGACAGATACCAACAACAGCAGTTACTGAAAAATACGCATGAATCTGGTCGTACAAAGAGCGGCTGAAGATGATGATGTCACATAGGTAAACCGCCTCCCGAGCTAAATAAAACGTTAACAGATTACTGTTTACAAGTAGGCCTATTCTCACTGAGTTTCTTTTTAGGAATCTAGTGTTCCCTGGCGAACCATCATGCTCATCTAGTTCATCTTCTCCCCTCGGGCCTAGGATGCTGCGACCATAGTTTCGGTCCTATTGTCTGATTCGTTAAGGTTCATCGTCACGCTTACCTTGAACTACTACGGTTCTATCCACTGCTGCCGTTGTACAGAATTAAATCCGGCATTGGTGATGCTTACTGTCGAAACAGGTTAACACCACTCTTTCTAATATAAGCACTGCGACATAAGCGTGCCGCTGATGCATTCAGTAACGACACGGACATAAAATTCACTGACAGTGGCCATACTCCGACTGGTTACACTCGATTACCGCACTTCACTTTACTTACTTTTTTTGTTGTTCTGTGGCGCTCAGACGATTAGAGCGTACGCGTCTTCCCCTGCTTGCTTGCTGTGCCGTCGCCTTCTCTCTGTTTTGTCGCACTTTTATCCCTCACGCTAAAGCGTCTACCGCCCTCTCCATCTTTTCCGTGCTTAAATATAGGACCGCTAATTTAGGCCATAATCAATTTCTAAATGGAGCGAAATGACAAGTGAGACACGCTATCACTTCCTCACTCTGTTCACGCTCAGATACAATTCCAGTACGGAAGCACCGATCGACAAAGCCGCCCGATCAGCAACGCGGTAAACGGCGACATCGACGATAACATCTGCATCTGAATGGTATATGAAAGATGGTGTTGATGGTAGTGTATTCTATTCTACTGGTCCGTTTTTGTAGATCCCCTGATGGCTGTTTGTTCGATGACGTACACAGACAGAAAGCGAAGTAGCAGCAGGCCTGTATATAATTAGGCCATTTAGATCGTATGATTAGACAGTGATGGTAAGGCTAACATAATCACGAGCAGGTGACGAAATCAACCGGAATTCCATTCCAGCATCTGGCTGACTGGCTGGTTTCCGCTCTGCGAGCAAGTTTACGCATAGTTGGACTCTGTAATCGGTAATCGCCCAGCTGGCTCCTTCTGTCTCCTTACTACGCTTTGCCGTACGAGGGCAGGCAGGTAAAAACAGAATCACCGTCGGAGTGTGAGATGACAATGCAACTCGGCTTCATCGTACTGACACAGCTGCTGTCCTCAGCATCAACAGCGGCACGACTGTCGACACGTATTGTAATAGGGGATTACACGGGAATAATAAAAATCTTTTCTCTGCCCTCTTGAGTCATATTAATATAGCACCACTCCCTGGTCCGTGGTTGACTCTTTTTTCTTTTCATCTATTACCTTTGGTCGTGGACAGATAGAATTTTCTGACATAAGATACGAAATGGGCACCCGCTTTCCGTTACGGTGAGCCTGTTCTACCCGGAGCCGCCAGCCTGATGCTGCTACTGCTGTTGGTCACTGATCGAACGCTGCTTCGCGTTCGTTATACGTTGACATAAACGTCGCTATCTGATTACCTCTTTCGCATTTGTTGTTTGTCGTTGTGCGTGGTACAGGGAAAGAAGACACAAAAAAGGTGGAGACCGTGCGCACCCTTAGGGGATGAACCTGTTCTAGTTATGGAAACTTGTGTTCTCTCCGGTCTAGCCTATTTGCTTTTTCAAATTGGTCACCTCGTGCTCACGTGCTCTACTTCTTTTCGTTCTGATTTTTCGTCACCTTATGAAGATCGCCCGTACAAACACAGCGCACCATACACATATAACACTCTCACTAACAGAATCACACGAATCCACGTAAGACCGAGCCGACGACAATAGAGGATATGACACGCAGCTCATCACATGATACAGCATAAGAGCAGATCAGACTATTAGACCCGTAACACAGAACACGCGCACACACATACATATACTGATGCCAAACGGCCGAGCAGAGACGACGTGTTCACTCAGATACTTACCGCGGTTGAGTTCTTTGTTTCCCCTGGGCTTCTGCTCGACCCCTGTTGCCTTCCACTGAACGTCAGTTTTTCGACGTGGCTGGAAGTCTTGTGCACCCTGTTTCCTCTTACGGAGGAACTCACCGACACTACGTGAACTCACTGACGCAGACATTCACACTCACAGACTGGCTATCACTGGCTTGCAGTCTCTCTCATCCTCGTACTAATGCACCTCGCTAGGCAATTTTTCGTTACTTCAGTTAGCTGTAACAGTTCGGAGGCACGAGGGCTTATTCTTTCCGCTTTTCTTTGTCCCGTTCGTTTTTTTCCGGTAACGCTTATCCGTTGCTTGTTTTCTTCGTGATCACTGTTACGTTACTACGGATACGAGAGTTTGTGTACTTCAGATTTGTCGGTCGCTGTAATTCGGCAACAGCGCCGCTGTTATTAGTTCCCAGGTTATTCCAGGCAACAGAAGGAAAGAACCGAGCGGCTTTCGGGGTCTCTCGCTTTGACTGCAGGCGGCTGCTGCTGCTGCTGCTGCTGCTGCTGCTGCTGCTGCTGTTGGGTTCGGTTGGCACGCTCTTTGCTGGCTGTTGTTCGACACGGCTCGCTGTCAGAACGCTAAGCTGGCGAGCCCCGCTAGGCGCTGTGCTGTGTCGTAGGGGTCGCTGCGATCGTTGGGACGCGAGAGCGGATAGACAGACGGCCGTGGTGGTGATGTTCGCGCTGGTGGAAGGCCGAAGAGCGGTGCCTGCCTGCCTGCCTGCCTGGCTGCCTGCCGGATGGAGGCTGCTGCTTGCAGATGAGGGAGGGCACATTGGCACTAGCAGTGTGAGCTCTACTGGTCAGATAGTATGGGACTGCGCAGGGCTGGGTAGGATCAGGCGCTCACCTGAATCAAGCCCAAGGGACACTTACGACCCACTGGGGGTGCCATCACTGCTGCCACCGGATTCTGTTTCGACTATTGACTGGCAGGGTCACGATAACAACGATTACGAAAGACTGCTGCTGCTGCTGCTGCTTAGTCCACTGCAACGGTTGAGACGACCCCTCGAACAAGTACTCCTTCCATTACTGCTAGAGTAGGCGCTGAAATGACCAATAGTGTGCATAAAAGATGGCGTTACAAGGCCAGCAATAAAAATCCATAAAAGCATATTATGCAATAGTGTAAATAAATACCATAACATAAAAACAAGCGGGGCCATAATTAGCTTATCACACGAACAGCAACAGACAAGCAACTGTTGTATTGCCAAGGGCCTGTCGGCTTAGTGATGGCCATTATTAATAGCGCGATAAAGCATCATCGTTAGGGACCCAACTGACGCCCAATGCCTAGCAGAGGTATGACTCACTGCCGGTGGTAACGACGACGACGAAGACAATGGCAATAGTAACAGCAGCATCAACTTGGAGGCGTGAAGATGCAATGCTACAATTGTCTGCAACACTGCAATGACACCGAACAACCAGCGTCGACGCCATTCCCCAGAACAGTCGCCCATATTCTCTTTTCTTTTTCGAAGCATCGGTCTGCCCAATTTCTATGCCAAATCTCCTGGTCCTATGGCGCGTTTGTCACCCCGCTACTGCGACATCGAAGCTATTATCCGTGGTGCTAGGTCGTCGTCGTCGCCGTTGCCTAGGCGCTCTAACGGGAACCCTGCTGCGTTATACCCATCAGATGTAGACAGGTACGAGGTCGGCGGATAGTTTTCCTTTCTTCCCATACTGGTCATCCTTGCGCTGCAATTATCTCCTGAATGATGTAGACGCAGTAGGCAGAGGGTGGTATCAACTAACGCGACAATTACTTGTACCAAAAACATGACGTTTGCTATAATCCATACGGTAAGTAATCGTCCAGTAGATGTCGCTTTTTCATCGAAATAATCCTATGCATACGCAAGTATGTATGTAGAAGTAGGAATCTAATACAGTAAACGCTGGAAAACGTATACTGAGTAATGCTATTATCGTATAGAAATAACGGGCGTAATTGTGTAATCGAGTATTGTTATTTTGTCCTATTTTATAGAAAAAGTGATTGGATACGAAATGCCTGAGAGAGAAGAAGCCAGAGAGCAACAAGCGGCAGGAAAGACAGAGGTGGGTAATACTGTGTCGGACATTATATATTTAATAGAACGTCCAGTGCCTTCCGCATAGGCTCGAGGATTCTGACCAGGACGACGGACTAACGACGAAAACGATTCGCTGAGATGCTATGCCAGCTTTTATGAACAGGGTTTATTCGTTTAGATACTACATGTTTGAACGGAGCTGAGGGGTAGCAGAGGATAGATACTCTAACGCTTCCGTACAAATAATTTGTGCAGGCTGTTTGACGTAGAACATAGTGTTTGTGATATGATTATGAATTTAATACGCATTTAACGGGAACGTAACGTTAACAGATGCATTAATACGTTTGTCAGACAGGTATAGAACATAGGACACGCAATATAACCTGCCATAGTTTGAGTCCACATGGCAAATTTGATTAATTTAAGGGCGTTTTCAGCTTCAGAAGCTGTCACCTTTCGGCAGACATAGCTGTGATGCAAATTGTACCCTCCGACTAATGACAACTCTTTCACCCGTATGGATAATGGCAAATCCTCGGCCCACATGCCATAGCCGCCAACGATGAACCTCTAGAACGACCCACTCCCTCTCACATTTTAATAGAATGGTGCAGGTTTAGCTCGTGTACATCACGATTTAAGTAAGCCCAAGTTATTAGAAAGTACATTTTAAAAGTAATACACTTCGAGTTCGGCTTGATTCGAAGTCCACCGGCATGTGATTTGGAAACCTACCCTGGAGCTCTGTCATTACTTAACGTATACCTTCTTCAAATTGTGTTACTAACCAATAAAAGCCACCGATAAGAATATTTTTTTTTTTTTTTGTTAGTAATTGATCACAACAATTCACGTCTGGCGTTGCAAAAAAAAAAAGGATATTAAGCGATAAAAATTAACTGTCCGCATTTTGTGGACGAAATGAAGTTTTTTTTAGAACTGTATCTGTTCACAATTTGCTGGGCAGTTATAAGGATACAACTCCACATAGGTGGCATATGAAGTGATTTGAATCGGATGTTTGAGAATTGGTAACCTTCTATCATCGTTGGATTTACCAATCTATCCATTTTGTACTTAGAAGAAATCTGTAAAGCACCGAATGAAAAGCAGCCTTGCAGTGTCTCACTTTTAAGGTAATGTGTCAATGATTCTGAGAGGTACCACATGAAGTATTTCGAGTATGCTTAGCTTCCTCACTTTGGTTTCATGGGTTTTGTGAGTATTCAACTGAAAAAGCTAGGGAGTACTATGTTTCGATTAAAATATCCGCCTATCACTTTCGCTAATGGCGTTTATGGACTATTTAGCTTCGTGTTAACAAAACACTGGCTTCATTTCAATTGCGCTTTTAAACTATCCAGTATAATAACGTAAAATTCAGCTTTTCGACGATACAAATTTCTGTTCCTTCTATTGGTTTCAAGTTTGTTCCAACAGCTACTTTACAAATAATAACTATGGCAATTTCGTTAACTTTTTTCAGCCTGGACTGGTCCCAATCCATCTTCTGCGCTCCATTCCAAATAGGCCTACTTACTAGTCGCATCCAATGTTGGCAACCGATTGCCATGCTTTCAGACAGAGGCCCCTTTTTCCAAAGCCCTTTCCCTGACCCAATCCTCATGCATCAAACAAACCCTGATCTTCCTATAGAACCGGACGACTGCTGAAGAACCGCCGCGGCAATATAATAAGTAGGAACAGCATGTTTAGTTCGGGCAAATTCTTTTGGTTAGATTGGACAGTCCGTCTCAGATGCATAAGATTATATATGCACAGCATAGGTTTGTCGTCGCTGGTGCCGTCGACTACGGGTCATGATTGAATGTACCGAAGTTACATACTTGCAACATTTACTAAGCTTATGGTTTTAGCAATCGTTTGAATTGATTCGCTCAAGAAGATATATGAACAGTGAATCACAAAGAACAATGAACTAGAATATGAGAGCACAAACAACCGGCTAGAAGATGTAAAGTAATCGAATGTTTGTGGAAGTATCAATAATGCACATACGCGTGTTAGAACTTTCACACTAGCAGGGCAAGGAAAAAGGGTGATGGATAATTGCAGGACCATGAAAGAGGCACCACTGTTCAGCCTTCGTTGTTCTCTCCGCATTCGTTAACAAGCACCAAAATAACGGCTATTTTAGTTTTTCAACTCCCGTTTTTTCTCGTGAACATTGTGTTTCGCCAGTATAAAACACCGAGTATGTTATCCACGAGTGCCGTTCGTATCGCAAAGCAGGTGCATATGGCTACGAATACATTTACTCAACTACGACTTTTGTTTCTGTAGTGCGTGTTCTTGTACGCTCTGTTTAGGCGCGAAATCCCTCTCTCATCAGTTGTATCATACTGGCTTTCCGCTATCCGCTAGTAGGCCCCGTTTTGTCAAAACAGAATCTGCGAATGTTTACCCTGAAAAGGGGCAGAATATATCATTTTGGATCGAGCTAGTCATTTGTTGTGAGATGAGAAGATCGCCTGCAGATGTCACAAAGCAATATGGATACTACTGAGGGAATGTAAGACAGAAGAAGAAAAGCGACCACGAGCTTCGCCCGACAGATTGCTGGACCTTCCATAGCTACGAACATTTGTCTCCTAAATATAATATCGTAATACCGTTTTAAAAGTGTAAGAGCAGTTTTTTTTTTTTTATTTTATCCTACATGCTTCCTACATGTACATGCTTCCGTATTTCTGTGTAGGAAAACGACCCACCAGTTCCTTACGAACGTTTTTTCCGCTTTTTTGGTGACTATATGTGCTAGGACTCACAGGGTGAAATGTTTTTGCTGACAGCCAATGAGCACCTGACTCATTATTGGCAGTAGCAGATCGCGCTACCCTATAATGGTGTTCATGGTGATGCTGTGAAGCTGCGAAATGATTATATAACTCTGAATGCATCACACATAAGCTGTTTCGGGTGACATTAATAAATTATCGATTTGCCCCTCGTATTTCTTTCTTTTTACTCTAAATAGTCATCTTAAAAACTCTAAGATAATTCTAATTGTACTTGTTAAGTTTTCACTGCATATAGGGGGATGTTCGCAGCACACTGTTACCACGTGGAACTTGTTAACTATTATACGGTCCAACTTAAAATAATGCGTTTGTGAATCTGTGTGTATTGTAATGTCTTGCTGCTAACTATATCACTTAGTAAAGCAGCAGTCGTATTTCTATTCAGATAAGCAGATTAAGTTCTTGACTCGAAATGGCCTGATAAGTGGATAATAATGTGATCACCTGTGAATGCTCAAGGTTGATACACATCAAGTTCAAACTTCCGCCAACTGCCTGTAGCTAGTGGAGTGGAAATTATTTCAATATATTTTTCACTTAGATTTGTTACTTTATGTTTGCTTCCGACTCTATTCTCTATCTGTCTGAGATCAATCAGTGAAATCTGACCGACTACGTGACACTTCCGGAGATCTGTATATCTCCAAAGGAGTAAGAGCATAACGGGAAGGGAG